TTCCAAAGCTCTGTCATAATAAATATTACATGACATTTTTTATCTACTATAGTTACACTAGCAATTAATATTTCGAAGAAAATGCTTGATATTAATCTAAATTATTTGATTTTTTATAGACCCTACTGATATTCCCAAACATCTTGACAATTAATTGGACAGATTAGGATCGATCAATGGTTAAAATCAAATTACAACTGAGATAATTAAGATTAATCGAGATTTTAGATTATTATTTCAATCAATTTAACGAGATTGTTTTACAAAAAAAGAAACATTTCGTAGAAAAAATAAGATTTGTAAACAGGTAGTGAATAATAATCCAGATTTTCTTAGGTTTATTTCTCATCGGTCACTGTTTTTAACTTGCGTAGTTTGTGAATGAGAAGAATCATTGTTCATGTTCTTCTTACTGTTCATTATCTAAAACAAAGGAAGAAAAACTACTCGACTTCTTCCATGGCCGTTGCCTTTTTTTCTAACCCCATAGATAAATATGAAGTGTTTTTCAAGTAAAAATAACATATTTTAAATGTACAGAATTTGACAGATTTGTATTTATGTAAGTGACACATGTTTCTGAATATGAAAGTAATGTATCAGATGAAGAGGTAGTGGAAGGAGATCGTGAAACAAATGTAAATAGTGGAATCCTAACAAAAAAAAGATACATTTGATAATGAATGGCTCAAACAAAATGATGTTCAATACGAAGATATACAACTGTATACATCAAATACAAACAATGCCGTTGAGGCAACCAGTAACTCAATCAAGGATGATAGAACGTTTAGAGAACACCATGTTTTATTAAGATTTTTAACAGTTTCTTCAAATATTGTCAATAATTGGTCAAACGAACGAGTTCCATCTTCACTTAATGCAAAGATATTTGCTACAAAAACAACAGCATCTTTAGAATTATGAACTTCAGCATGTCAATGGGCTAAATCAATAAAAGATATCATTTGTATTTCAAATGATTCCTCGCAAAAATATCATATATCAGCTTCTGAATTACAATAGATAACACAAACTAATTTAAATAATCATAACAAAAAAGTGGACAATGTTTAATCAATTCAAAAAAATCTCATTGATATCTGATGTATGGAAATAGAAAATAATTCACATTTGTACAAATTTTTTTAAGAATTATATATTGAAATATTTTGTAGGCATGGCTATTCGTTTGAAATATTGTGACACACCAGCAGCAACAAAGACAGTAATGATCAGTAAGAAAACAAAGAGACCAGCATAGAGTAAACTTGCTTTATTAATGCAATAATTTCATTTTCATTTTCTTTCCATTATGCTTTAAAGTTCTTCATTTTTATTCTTTAATTCTTCGATTTATATAAATTTATTTTCTATTGGTAAAGCCTATCTTTCTACTCATAAATTTTGTGTTTTCTACTGATAGAAATAACAAATTTTTACCGCTACTTACATTTAATAAACTGACCATCGTAATATTATTTAGCAACATTTCAGTACTGACTGTTTAACGTTTATGCTGACCATTTACATATTTTTTTCCTCACCATTTCATCTATTCTACTGACCGTCTAAATAGTAGTACTCTTATTACGATAAAAGTATTCGTGATGTCACAAACATCTCTTTACGCTCAACTAAATGACGAGTTTCTTGATAATATAGAAATGATCATAAAAAAATGAAAAACAGTCAAATTAGAAGTTTGATAAAATTGATACGTAAACGAGTTAAATAAAGTGGCAATAGATAGGGCATCAACTCGCACATGCTAAGGAAAAAAGGTAGTCAAACTTGTTTAAAAATATTCTATTTTTTGTAACTATTAAAAACTAATATGTCATTCTACTCAAAAAAAAACCAGAGCAATCTATAAATTATAATTTTCACATCTGGTGTATTCATATAATACAAGTAATCAGTACAGATCGGTGTTTTCGAAACAAAAATGGAACCGAGCCAGACCTTCAATATCCCAGTTTCTTTCATTCCAAATTGAAACCTATGGAATTAAAAATTCTTTTTACTAATAGCTAGGAAAGTTGATGTTCAAGTGTTGCATAACCTATGGTCGCAGAGACCAATCTATGAGTACACAAGCAGTAAACTTCACGTATCTATAAGAACTGGACGGAAGAAGAAGTTACAAATAGCAAGACGTTTGATTGTTACCATTGAAAAATTCGAGCATCATCGAAAAATCATTTCTTCAGAAAATTTATGGCTAGATATTTTGATCTGCATTTTCATAATCATTATGAATATGAGTCATGTATGTGTTAGAAGCAAAATTTTTGCCATCAATGACAATTTTTCGTCTCAAAAAAAAAGTTTGTATCAAAACAAAGTCAATTTTTCTTACAATAGTCGTTCGATAGCGTGCATCAAATGGTATTGTATCAGAGCAGGAGATAAACTGCAATTTTTTTTGTTTAAAGGCTCATTATTTCAAAAAATGACTTTCACGAAAGAAACAAACTGTTTTTCTGTGAACACAATATCATAAGAATCCTGCCTTTTCTCATTCTTTCTCTTGATTGTGCTATATTTCAAAGAAAAAAAAAATATTGTATCAATCATTTTTCATACGATTACTAGATCACTGAGTCTAAAGATACGTTTTTGGAGCTGAAGTTGTGACCTTTTTTGCTTCCGATTTTACTAACTGAAACCGTCTATGTTCAGTGATTGGACTAAAAATACAGCATTTCAATGAATCTTAAAAGACAACTCCGTTGGAATACATTCGATTACTTTTAAAAAAAGACGATAAATAGCAAGTAATAGTTGAATGTAATGAAACGTGTTCCAGAAAATGTGCATGAAAATATGTATTTCAAATTGATCTTTCAGCGTTGATACCCATCGTTGCCTTTGAATGCGGTAAAACTCGTAAAATTTGCTGTGCGAATCGGTAAAAAGGTCGTTTCAATGCATTTTTTTTGAGTAGTGTCTGATTGAGTTGATGGTTGACATATGAGTGCTCATTTCGGTCCATGTTTCATTGAACTTAACGGATGATGATGAATGCCGATATTCTTATAAAGATGAGATCCGTTTTATATCATTTTTACAGGCGTATTGAATGAGTATACTTAGACTATTTGCTTACTATCAATACTCAGTACCATCTTTCACTGTTTATTTAGATCATTGTTTGTTCAAAACAAACTTTAGTAAGTTGATGAAAACAGCAACACAAAAATAAACGTCATTCAACAAATTCTTGTCGCACAGCAGATTTAAATACATATTTATTGTCTTTGCTGACAGCAATCCGATATCATCCTGTTTTGTTAAATATTCATTTTTAAATAACTGTTAATTCATCAATTTCATTTGCTTTCATCAATAGAATCAGTAAATTCAAAGTTCAAGATGAAACTCTTTTCAATAGACATGATTTTGCAAACCTAAAAATATCAAACTAATGAGTTATAATAATCGCATCTTCGACGTAGAACTGACACTTATTGTTGATGTTGACTAAGAATTCATCGTATATGCGAAGAAAATTTCCCCGATTCGGAAAAGATAGTGTAGATTCAGTATATTGCTAATTTTACAATGCCAATCAGCTAAGATTGAATGACTTTGCAAAGTTATAGTCAAACAATAATTTGATGATTCTACACATGCAATTATTTTCAATCAACTTGAATAGCTCAAATATAATCAAAATATATATGAAGAAGCAATTATATTGTATGCAAAACTATTTGAAATCAAGTAAAAAGCCCTTTGTCTTCAAAATATTTTGATCCTCCCACAGCTGATGGTTATGTCAGTTTGATATACGGAAATATGAATAAGTATTCGTAAATATTTTCGTCTTATGAACACGTCGTTGATAGTGGACAACATTCGTAACATTAAATCATGGTTATATTTAATAAAAACGAAAGTATTTCGAATTAGGACGTATAATCTGTAACTATTATGTATGTGTTAAGGAGAATAGAAAAAAATTCAAATAGAAAATTTACTTTGGTTATAATTATAACGAGACATATTTGGAGATATTAAATCTATATTGCGTTGGAAATACCAATGGATGCATCCTATCGATCAAAAACTGAATAGAATTACGAGCCGTCTTCTTGTGCTACATAAAAAGCCACTCATGGGATTCTTGCTTCTCAACATAGAACATCTCTTTCTCAAATAATAACAATCATTCGGCAGATATATTAAATTATTATCTACGAAGAATAACTATTTGTCAAGAAAATGATTTATATTTTTTCTATTTCAATATAAAAATAGTTCATTACATCGAGAAATTTATAAAAGATGAAACATACTCATTAATCTAGTAATAGATTGTTGCTGTTCACTGTAAAGAAGTTATATTCATTGTAGAATACAAATAATAACTATTTGGTATTTCAAAGACTGAAAGACCAGATAAAATTAAGTGGTTTATTCGATAGACGAACTATAAATGATATTTGATTATATTTATAGTCGAATTTGCTGTACAATTAGAAATTCAAAGTGATTTAGGTTTACATTCAATGAAAAATGTTGCTTTTCCTTCATTACAGAAGGATTATTGTCAACATACGTCGTGTCATGTTTTCGTATAAAACGGTAGGATAGCTTTGTTTTCATTTCATACACCTCACAAGTGAATTCATCTGACTAATATTTTCAATTTAAGTTTATATTATGGTTGTGTAGGTGTGAATGTGAGGCAAATGAATAGAAGTCTTACATCAACCTCCACACTCACATCCTCACGCACTGAGAAACAAAAAACCTCATCAATGAACAAAGATGCTTGCATTACAGCAATACTCAGCTATTTTAGTACCGATTTCCGACGCTTTTCAAATTCACAATGATGCCTTATACTCGTTATTTCTTATACTATTTAAAATCTCAATACTGAATCTTGCAACAATTTTATTTTCCACTCACACTATTTATTTCTTACACAAAATCATGGAAAGTTTCTTGCTCGACATAGATCGTATTTCAATAAAACACGTACGCTTTCAATTCAAATTGACTGCACCAGCGGCTGAGTAAGCTTTTCGCCATGCTAAAGCTCTAACGTAATCACGGACTGTTATGTTGCCTATTGGTATTTTATTGTTCATTTGTATCTCTTCATATTCATTTAACACTTCAACCAACACCATATCTGTCCACGTAGTATTAATCATGTTTTTGATTCGGTCTTCTCGTTGACGTTGCAGGAATTCTTTTAGCTCATCTTGATGTCCGAATTTGGCAAAATACTCATTGTTATGTAAACAATGAATATGCCAAGCATCCCATATTGAATCTGCTGAATAAGATGGATGATCTAGAGCATTGGACTCATGTTCATGGCTAAGAGTTGATGAATAAATATGATTAATGGCTATTTCAGCAGCATACAATGATGTGACACCCCGCCACCATTTTGGCCAATCACCAATATCAGGTAAATCTTGAATACCTAGATAAAAATAAAGCTTCAGTAATGCTTTATGTAGCATAATATTTTTATGTAGACTGTACAAATAGTAGAATAAAGTGTGATTTCATGTTTCTCACAGTACCCTTCAAGATTGATGACCAATAGATTTTTCGTAAAGAACTTCTCTATCGTACTTTTGATGAAGATAAAACTTAGTATTCATGTAGAATTCTCAATTACAATCTACAGAAGATAGTGTTAGAACAATAGAAGGCAGTAATATCTATGAAAACAATAGGTTCTCTTACAAATTGAAATTGTTTACACGATGAGAAGACAGTTTTTGATAAGGAAAAAACATTATAACAGTTTTTGAATAAAATATAGTGTTTTTCATCTAACTGTTTGCCATGGTTCATCAACTGAAAAACAAAAAAAAGTAATAAAGTGTTAATTTCATACCAGGAACATTTCGTCCAAATTCGTTTTTCAAAAAATGTTTGCCAATGATTGTTGTTAGATTTGCAATTTTCACAGAGTCATGTGGATTGACTAGCCATGTCGAACATAGAGTATGTATACCTGAATGATTGTAACCGAGTTTTTTTGCAATCTTTCGTAGTCGGTCATGAGTAAATTCGATTCCATGACCGACTCCTCCAAATTGCATAGGAAGTAGTTTTTTTCTATGTTTTCCAATCAAACCCATCAGTAAACCAGGACTCAACACAGCATCTTGATCTACTCTCAAAATCCAATGATAATCAACAATGGCTTTTCGATATTCTTTGGTTAATATGAATGCAATTGATGTCATGTACAGATAATCGTTCCATTCTTCGACTATTTTTGGATCAAGTACTTCATAAAAACAAGTAGCTATCAGATCTAATTTCTTTTTGTAGGAAAGAGGTAAACAAGATAATGGCAATTGATGACAGCTTGGTTGTTCACAAAATACAATCAAATCAATAACAACTTGTCGTGAGAGAGGCCAGAAATTCTGAACAAATCTCCACGATTCATATAACAAATGAAACTCAGAAATATGACTGCCTTGTTCGGCTAACGATAGAACAACTGCTA